TCAAATATATTTGAACAACCTCTCATTTATTTGTCAATTCTTCATTCATTGTTTTATTCAACACTCAAACTTCCACTTACATTAGAAAGGATAGAATTAACAAATTGTAAGTCATTAGAACAACTTGACTTATCCCAACACAACAATTTAAAATTTCTTTCTTTACATAATATTCCTTTACTCAATAAAATTCTTATCCCTCAACAACTTCATTCATTTGTCCTTTCCAATGTTTCGTCACAACTCAAATCTAAATTTGAGATTGATGGGTTGAAAGAATCACAAATAAAAAAATGTAAATTAGAAAGAATGTCAAATCTTTTTAATATTGAAATGCCTGAGTCTTTATTTGAATTATCAATTATATCATGTATCAATTTAAATATTACAAATTTATTTGATCTTTCACTTCCTCGTAAAACAATGTTATTATTGAAAGAATATTCAAATTAAATCATTAATGAATTAAATTTTTTTTTTATTTTTTGACTTTTTATCAAAGTCATTAAGTAAAAAATAAATGATGGTTTAAATTAAATTATTCGGTCCAATATTTTTTGACAACTTCAATGAGATGTTCACAGAATTTAAATGAAGGGAATCCTACAACATTCCAATAAGATCCATCAATTCTTGAAATAAAAGTAAATCCACTTTGAATACCATAACCACCAGCCTTATCATAACAATAACCACTTTCTATATATTTATTAATAAAAGTATCAGTCATATGACCAAATTCTACTTTAGTACAATCATCAAAAACTTGAGTTAATGGTTTTCCATTGACTTGAATTTTTGGATAAACAAGGCAAACAACAGAAATTACTTCATGAGTATTTCCACTTAATTTATGAAGAATCTAAGAAGTATTAGAAAATTATTTTCAATAACTTTGTATCTTTTTAAATCAAAAATGACATCTCAAATCATAAAAATAATCTTGTAATCATTTTTAAAATATGATAAAAAACAAACTCTTGAGGCATCTTCTGCATTTTTTGGTTTCTCAATAATCTCATTATTAAATAATACAATAGTATCACATCCAATAATCAAATCAGCATCTGGATATCTAGAAGCAACATCCATTACTTTTCCTTCTGCATTTGCTTTGACATAATCAACTGGGTGTTTAAATAATTTCTTATCTAAATTTTCTTCAAAGTTACTAACATGAATTTCAAATTTTAATTCCATTTGTTCTAAAATTTCCTTTCTTCTTAGTGATTGACTAGCAAGAATAATTTTCTTAGAATTTATTGTATTTAAATATTCCAACAACATTTACTTTTGATTATTATGTTTTTGTTGTTATTTGTTTTAAAGATTCTTAATAAACCCTAATTGCTTCTTATTATTATTATTAGCTAATTGAATCTTCGGTTTTTTTTGTTAACATTTGAAATAATTCTTTCTTTTTTTTTTACTTGTTTCTTCCTCAAGATTTGAAGTTGACATATCAGAGATACAGTACACAAACATTAAAATGAATATAAAATAATATCTGAATGTTGTAATTATTAGCTGATTATGATGTTGTCTTTTAATAAAAAATTTATGAGTCAACGTTTCAAATGTTGTAAAATGAGATATTATAATTGAATATTATTTGTTATAATAGAATAAATGGTATTGATTAAGATGAAATTAGCAATATATAATGAATATTATCCAAAGAAAATGAAATATCAATGATAAAGTTAATATTAAATGAAATTAGAAATAAAAATATAATGATAATGAAATATTCATTTATAAGAAAATAAGAAATAAAGATGAAGTTCATTAAAACTAAAATCAAAATCAAAAAAGAAGAAATAAACAGAAATAAGAATGAAAAGACATTAAAAGACGTTAAAAGACATTAAAATGATTTATTCATAAAACAAGAAGAAAATCTTAATAATAAATAAAAAAAGAAATTACTCATTTTTAATGATGTATAATGTGATTAATATCCATTAATCAATGAATAAATGATAATAAAATTATCATTTAATTATCTTATTTTTATTTATTTTCCTTCTTCTTATTTTTTTCTTTTTCTTATTTGAAGTAAATTGATTTTAATTCAGTTTTTACTTTTTGTAAAAAGAAAAGTCAGATACAATAAATGATAACAAGACGATGCTTTGTTGTTGTCATGTTTATTTTATTTTACAAATGAATGAACTTTTATTTAAAATAAGTTTTGTGGTAGGTATAAAGTTATAACTTATTGAGAAATGAATAAAAACAAATAAAAGAGAATGACGTTTAATAAATTAGTTAAAGAAAAACATTATTTTGTTTTAAAAAATCAAACATTTCTTTTGACTTTCCTAATACAAAAGCATGTTTAATTGTAGTTTCTATAACACGAACATCAGGATATCTTTCTTTAAATTCATTACGAATCCATAAAGGAGTGTATTTGTCAAATTGACCAAAGACAACAGTAGTTTTATTTGAAGTTTTTAAAAGACATTCTTGAGTTTGTTTGTCATGATCAGTAATAACTTCTTCTTCATCTAAAGTAAAATAAGCAACTTGAGCTATATGATGAGGATTTAAATCTTGTTGCATCATTTTAGCTTGTTGAGGAGGAGTAGTTGAAACGAGTTGAATAAAAAGAGTAAAAATAAATAGAGGTAATAACTTAAGTAAATATGTTGTCATTGAAATTAATGGATAAATAAGTGTAAGTCTTGCAAGAAGTCTAACAATTAAGTCTATTGAATGTTTAAGGTCTCTAATAGCAGGAAATAAATGAATAATTTGATCAACTCGATGTTCTAATTCAGGTCGTTGAGGTAAAACATGAAGAGCAACAAATGCTCCAAGAGAATGAGTTAATAATAAGAAATGTGTTGTTTGTGGTAATTCTCTTAATACCCAATCAATTAAATTTAATTTAACTTTTATTACTTCATAAAGAGATGTTTTCCATGATGGAAAAACATTATTCATTGGAGTGCAGTGTAAAGAAACAACAAGAATACTATCATCAGGATATTGTTCATGTAACATCTCACAAAAATCAATATAAAATGCTAACAATGAAGGATTTCCAGTAAAAAATAATATACAACGAGGAGCAGATAAATAATTATCAGATTGAATACATGTTTGTCCACAAATATTTGTATAATGAAGAAATGGATGATTTTCTAATTTAAATTCCATTTAGAATTTAAATTAAATAATAAAGTTCTTTTGTTTTTCAAATAGAAATAATAAATTAAAATGATTAACTTTTATTTTTGTTTTAAGTTATTGAAGAAATATTTATTTGAATTAAAAAAAATATTAAAGTTTATATTTTTTTTTAATTAATTCGACTGTTAAAGTATTTTTATAATTTATTGATTGTTTATTTGGAAGTACAATAATTCCCAAATGAATTTAGATAATATAAATTAAACTTTTAGTGGTGTTGAACATTAAACTAACTTATTTTCAAAATAATGTTTTTTTATTTAAATATCAAAATAATGTTTTTTTATTATCTTCAAAGATTAAAAAAAAAATGTTATTTTCGTCTTATAAAAAGTAAAAATAGAAATTTAAAAATAGAAACAAAGAAATAGGTAAAATTAATGAAAGAGAGAGGAAAAAAGTTATGTAACAATGATCTAAAAATACAATAAAGATTAAAAATACAACAAGTAAAAAAAGAATAAGAAGGGAGAAATAGTAATAAATATAGTAAAATAAATTAAAAAAAGAACTAAGGAAAAACTGTGAGAACTTTAATTCAAACAAGAAATGGCTGAGATCAAGGTAATAGTTATTGGTGATACTAACGTTGGTAAAACATGTTTATTATTAACATATACAACCAATTCATTCCCAGATACATATGTACCAACAGTATTTGATAATTACACAGCTCCAATTTCAGTAGATAAAAAAACTGTTCAAATGAATCTTTGGGATACTTCTGGATCTGATGACCTTGATGAAATGAGACCACTCAGTTATGCTGATACTGATTGTTTCATGATTTGTTTTTCAATTGCTGATGAAGACTCATTTGAAAGAATTAAGACTAAATGGGTACCTGAAATTAGAGATAATTGTGGTAAGGATGATCCCAAAATTATTATCGTTGGTACTAAGTCTGACGTTAGAAATAATCCAAATGCTATTGATGTCTTGAAGAAACAAGGAAAAGACTTGGTTAAAAAAGAATCTATTGAGGTTATGGCAAAAGAAGTTGGAGCACAAGCATTTTGTGAATGCTCTGCTATTACTCAGGTTTGTTTATTTTATATTTTTTAATATTTTCTTTCAGTGAATGTTCTATTAGTATTAGTTATTTAAATATTACTCAATGAGTATTTATATTATTTGTCTTTTCTTATGAAAATATGAGATATTAATCATTTAGAGTGGATTAAAAGAAATCTTTGAATTAGCTGCAAAGGTCTCAATGGGTTTGTTAGATGCTGTTGTCTCTGAAGCTCCACAAGCTAAAGAAAAGAAAAAAGGAATGTTTTCTAAAATATTCGGTAAAAAGGATAAGAAAGAAAAGAAAGATAAAAAATAAAGTACTATATTGACTCGTTGTTGCTTCCTTTTGTTTCGTTATTTCTTTTTATCATTTGATTTATTTGTGTTTTTCATTTTTATTCATAAGATTAAATCGTATTATTTTTTTTGTTTTTGAAAGGAAAATTCTTCAAGTAATGAAAAGAAAAAACCCTATTTATTATAATATATAATAAAATAATTTATACTTTATTAGTTATTCTTTTACATTTAATAAAAACATTAAAAAAACATAAAATGACAAAGAAGTTAAAAAGAAAAACACAAAAATAAATATCCAATAAAAAATAAGAAGAAGAGGTGAAATAATAAAATTAAAAGTAAAATTATAGTAAAAGATTAATAAAAAAAGAGAATGAAAAGAAGATATAATTAAAGTGTTGTGAAGGATGAACAACACATCAACTGACATTGTTCAACAACTCTTGTTCAATGAGTCGAGATCTACTTCTGCACCTCCTCAAATGGATAGAGTTGGAAGTTCTGGAGAAGTAATTAGTTTAGAGGACTTAGAAAAACAAGCGTATAGAGCTCATCCTGAATATCACCAATATTATTTCCAACAAAAGCCTGCTGATCCAAGATTACCAAAACCATTATTTGCTTGGAACCTTCCAAAAGGTTATGAAAGTGTTTTAAAGAAAGCATTTAAAACAACACCATTTAATTTAGATAAAATATTAGAGGGTTTATCAGGTCCTAATCTTCGAAATGAATTAAGAATCGAAAATGAAGAAAGTTATGAAGAAGAAGATGACGATGATAATAGTGAAGAAGATAACAGTGAAGAAGATAATACAAATGAAAGTTCAGAAGAAGGTAACAGTGAAGAAGATAGTGAAGAAGAAAGTGAGAGTAGTGAAGAAAGTTCAGAAGAAGAGGAAAGTGAAAGTTATGAAGAAGATAATCAAATGAATAGATATTCACGTTACCAACAACAATATCAACCTAATTACCAATATAATGGAAATAGTTATCCAATAAACTTTGGATATATATATCCAATAAATGACAATGTTACTCTTGACTATGTTTCAATGAGTAAAGAACATAATGGTAGTAGAACAGT